ATATATATATATATATATATATATATATGGAAAAAAAAGAAGAAAAAAAAAAAAAAAAAAACAGAGAGAGGAAAATTAAGAGGGAAGTATCTTGGCTATAAATACGAACCTTTTCTTCGTTTCTACCTTGCATCTCTAACGCTTGGAATACAAAGCAAGAAAACTGTGTGTTTCCACCAAGTAGTTCTTCAAAGCCAAGGATATGGCCAAGTACATCTCTGGGCAGGCTCTATTCCCTTACCTAGTTCTTCTCATTTCTCTTCTCGTCATCCGCCTTGCTGAGTCTGATGATGAGCAAATGGTAAAGTTTCGTATCTCTCGAACTTAATATTCCTTTCGGTTTGTTCATTTTGTTTAAACTCTTCTGAACAAACTGAAATACGAAACAATATCATGTGTCTTAACGTACGTATTTTTGGCCAGGGGATTACAACCATGGTTTTGAGCTCATCCTCCGAATCCACTGCGGAGATCCCTTTGCCCCAAAAGATAGGCACGTAAAACTAACTTAACACTACAATATTATTGTATTATCAATGTTAAATCCACCCCTTATTGAGGCGTCAATCATCTCTAACTAAATATTACTCAAGTTTTTTTAACCATTGACAATATTCGCATTCTTGGATTTACATTGTATCACATAATTAAGGGACATATGCACTTTACAGATTGTGGCGGAGCTTGTGATACGAGGTGTGCTCTGTCGTCGAGGCCAAAGCTGTGCAAGAGGGCATGTGGGACGTGCTGCGCGCGGTGCGACTGCGTGCCGCCGGGGACTTCTGGGAACTACGACGCTTGTCCCTGCTATGCCAACATGACCACCCACGGTGGCCGCCGCAAATGCCCTTGAAAACACATATGCGCGTCTTTCACTAATTCACTATATACATGTATGTAGTATTTGCTATTATGCTGCTAATGTTGCGTCTCTGATTTTGGAAATAAATGTACCAACCTCCATCAGTCCATCTAAGATTTTATGTAATTTAAGTATTGTTGTTATAAGATGAATAAAAAGTAACGTGATTAATATTAGCTTCAAGATGTACAAAAGATCGAGTAAAAAAGATGACTATTGAAATCTGAGGATTACTATTATTTGAAAATTCCATGGTAAAGTATCCACCAAATATTTCGTTAAATGTATATGTTGTTGGAACTTTTCGTTACATTAACGTTAAAAACCAGCGATATCTGTGTCCTGTAGGTGCTTTCTATTGCATTAACCTCCATTCTCTTTTGTCATTTGCACAATTAATATCCGTGTGTTGGAGTCACTCCTTTTTATCCCCTTTAATAAGAGAGAAAGAGAGAAATATACTGAGACTTGAAATGAATTAAAATTAATAGGTCAATAGTTTACATAAGTTAATAAATAGACAAAATTACTGTTTTTGTCCGTAACTTGTTTGGTTATGAACCATAACTTGACAAGTTATTGTCAGTTTTTGTCCATAACTTGTCTGGCTATGAACCATAACTTGACAAGTTTATCCATAACTTATATAGTTATGAACCATAACTTGACAAATTATGGCCCTATTAATTTCTATAACTAAAAATTAACCTATATACTTCATTAAGTTTCTCATATTGATATATTTTCTATTATTATAGCCTTTAATATAGTTTATGACACTTGTGTTGGGTTCCGCCCCATTTGTGGGCTGGAACCACAAGTGGGCTTAAAGCCCAAACAACAACAACAACAAAAAGGAAGAAAGGCATGTTGCTCACGTGGGCAGCACTGCCCACACCAGAAAATTAGAAAAGAAAAGAAGAAGGAGAATCGGGGATATTATAGATTGCAGCCGAGAAAACTAGAGAAAAGAGAGAGAGAAAGAGAAAAAGGGGTAGGGTTTTGGTGCTTGTGCAAGACGATTGGGTGGCAAAACGTTGTCGGTTTCGGCTCAAATTTTACGTAATGAATCCTTGTGGTGAGCTCCAATAGTTTACATAAGTTAATAAATAGGCAAAATTACTGTTTTTGTCCATAACTCGTTTGGTTATGAACCATAACTTGACAAGTTATTGTCAGTTTTTGTCCATAACTTGTCTGGCTATAAACCATAACTTGACAAGTTTGTCCATAACTTATATAGTTATGAACCATAACTTGACAAGTTATGGCTCTATTAATTTCTATAACTAAAAATTGGCCTATATACTTCATTAAATTTCTCATATTGATATATTTTCTATTATTATAGCCTTTAATATAGTTTAGGACACTTGTGTTGGGTTCCGCCCCATTTGTGGGCTGGAACCACAAGTGGGCTTAAAGCCCAAACAACAACAACAACAACAAAAAGGAAGAAAGGCATGTTGCTCACGTGGGCAGCACTGCCCACACCAGAAAATTAGAAAAGAAAAGAAGAAGGAGAATCGGGGATAGTATAGGTTGCAGCCGAGAAAACTAGAGAAAAGAGAGAGAGAAAGAGAAAAAGGGTAGGGTTTTGGTGCTTGTGCAAGACGATTGGGTGGCAAAACGTTGTCGGTTTCGGCTCAAATTTGACATGGAGAATCCTTGTGGCGAGCTCTTCCAATCTACCGGACTTGATTTCTCATTTAGCCTCTCTTTAGTACTCTCTTGAGTACTCCTAAGTTGGTGAGACTTAGCTTTTCTTTGGTGTTATTATTGTTATCCATCTTTGTTGATGATGTCCATATTGTTGGTGAACCAAGAATAATGTTTCTTGATGATATTATTGTTGTGAGCCTCTAGTTTGATTCTAGAGAGAAACTTTGTAATCCCATTGTTGATATAGTGAAAAAAAGATTTAAGTGGCCTAAGGGTCCCGTGGTTTTTACTCTCAATTTGAGAGGTTTTTCACGCTAAAAATTAGTGTTTCACTTGTGGTTGATTATTTTGATTAATTGGTGCATTGGTTGTTTAGCTTTGTTGGCATTTTGTTTGAGATCCTATTTTAGCACACAAAGAGGGAAAGTTTTATTCCGCAATTGTTTGTTAGTTTTCCCAACAAACTGGTATCAGAGCCTTTGGTTGGCTAGAGGCTAATTCTTGTGTGTTGAAATGGAAGAACAAAATTCGTATGGGATGGTAAAATTAACCTCATCGAATTATTCCATTTGGAAGCGCAAAATGCAAGATTTGCTTATTGTTAAAGATTTGTATGGGCCTGTTATGGGTAAGTCAAAGCCAGAAAAAATAAGTGATGATGATTGGGAAATATTACACATGAAAGCTAGTTTGATTCTAGAGAGAAACTTTGTAATCCCATTGTTGATATAGTGAAAAAAAGATTTAAGTGGCCTAAGGGTCCCGTGGTTTTTACTCTCAATTTGAGAGGTTTTTCACGCTAAAAATTAGTGTTTCACTTGTGGTTGATTATTTTGATTAATTGGTGCATTGGTTGTTTAGCTTTGTTGGCATTTTGTTTGAGATCCTATTTTAGCACACAAAGAGGGAAAGTTTTATTCCGCAATTGTTTGTTAGTTTTCCCAACAAACTGGTATCAGAGCCTTTGGTTGGCTAGAGGCTAATTCTTGTGTGTTGAAATGGAAGAACAAAATTCGTATGGGATGGTAAAATTAACCTCATCGAATTATTCCATTTGGAAGCGCAAAATGCAAGATTTGCTTATTGTTAAAGATTTGTATGGGCCTGTTATGGGTAAGTCAAAGCCAGAAAAAATAAGTGATGATGATTGGGAAATATTACACATGAAAGCTGCTGCTACGATTAGGCAATGGGTTGATATTCATATTTTTAATCACATTTCTGAAGAAATGAAAGCCGATGCACTTTGGAAGAAATTAGAGGCTATGTATGAGAAGAATACCTCCAGAAAAAAAAGCCTCAATCATTAGAAGACTTGTGAATTTGAAGTACAAAGGTGAAAAAAGTATGACTGAGCATCTGAGCATACTAGTGATTTTCAAGGCTTGGTGAACCAATTGGCCACAATGAAAATGCCTCTTGAAGATGAGTTGCAGGCATTGTTACTTCTTAGCTCCTTGCCTGACAGTTGGGAAACGTTAGTGGTATCACTAAGCACTTCAGTGCCTGGAGGAAAGCTAACCATGGAGATGGTTAAAGAAAGTTTGTTGAGTGAAGAAGCCAGAAGAAAGGAAAAAGGGTGAATCTTCATCTAAGGTACTTGTTTATGAAAAACAGGAAAGGCGTGGAAGAAGTAAAAGTAGGCATCCTCAGGGTCATGGCAAAAAGGATACATTCAGGAGAAAATCTAAAAATAGAAAAAATGTCAAGTGTTATCACTGCAACAAGATGGGTCACATGAAGAAAGAATGCAGAATTTGGAAAAGAGAACAGGGTGAAGGAAATAAAGATGAGAAAGAGACTAATACAATAGCCGCCGAAGGTGATGTTACCATCATTTGTTATGACAGTTGTGTTAGTCTTGTGTGCCAGGAAAGTGATTGGGTGATTGATTCTAGCGTCTCGTTTCATGTTACTCCTCATGGTGATTTCTTCACTTCTTACTCTACCGGTGATTTTGGCAATGTCAAAATGGGAAACAGTGGTGTCTCTAAAATTGTGGGCATTGGAGATATTTGCTTGGAAACTAATCTTGGAAGCAAGTTGGTACTCAAGGATGTTAGGCATGTTCCGGATATTCGCCTAAACTTAATCTCCACAGGCAGACTTGACGATGAGGGTTTTACTAGTTATTTTGGTGAAAGTAAGTGGAAGCTCACCAAAGGTTCTCTAGTAGTTGCAAGAGGAAAGAAAATGAATACACTCTAAGTCATGCAAGCTACGCTTCACAAAGGAGAGATAAATGTTGTTCAGAAGGGTGCAAGCATTGATCTATGGCACAAGAGGCTTGGCCACGTCAGTGAGAAAGGATTACAACTTCTTGCTAGAAAGCAATTCCTGCCTAGTTTGCAAGGTATGCATCTTAAAACTTGTGTTGATTGTTTAGCTGGAAAAACACATAGAGTTGCATTTCATTCACACCCGCCATCTAGAGGATCAAATATTCTTAATTTGATTCATACTGATGTATGTTCTATACAAGCTAAAACTCTTGGAGGTGCATTCTATTTTGTGACTTTCATCGATGACCATTCAAGAAAGGTTTGGGCTATTGCTTTGAAATCTAAAGACCAGGTGCTTGATGTCTTTAAAGAGTTTCATGCTAAGATTGAAAGAGAAACAGGAAAACAGTTGAAATCAGTTCGCGTTGATAATGGTGGTGAGTACAGGGAACCGTTTGAGAATTATTGCAAACTCCATGGAATCAGGCTTGAGAAGACTCCAGCTAAGATACCTCGGCTTAATGGTGTAGCGGAGAGAATGAACAGAACAATTGAAGAAAGAATTAGGTGCATGCTTTCTCACGCAAAGCTTCCTAAGTCTTTTTGGGGGGAGGCCATGAGAACCGCAGTCGATTTGATTAATCTTTCTCCAGCAGCTGCCTTGGATGGTGATGTTCCAAATAGAGTTTGGACTAGGAAAGATGTCTCTTATGATTACTTGAGAGTTTTTGGCTGCAAGGCATTCGTTCATATTTCTAAAGATGAGAGATCCAAGCTTGATGATAAGGCGAACCTGTGTATTTTCTTAGGCTATGGCCATGAGGAGTTTGGGTACAGGTTATGGGATCCGGTGAACAAGAAAATTGTCAGAAGTATAGATATTGTCTTCCTTGAAGACCACGTGATTGATGATGGTAACAAGGGTGAAAAGTCTTATTCCTCTGCTGAAATTCCTGTTAATTTGGATCAATTTCTCCATCTGTAGAGGATACTAATCAAGGGGGAGATGTCCAAGAAGATAGTGGTGATGTTGTTAATGATGAAGCCCCTCCAGTTGATGATGTAGAGCTAGTTGAACAAGCACCGCTAGCACCACCAGTTAAGTCTCAGGTGAGAAGATCTACAAGAGAGCGTCGTCCGCCTAGTCGATACACCACTACTGGCCACGCGCGGGTACAGTACTACTAATGAGTACGTGATGGTCATTGATGGGGG